CCTCGCGAGGAGGAGGAGGAGGAGGTCGACGACTATGACGAGGAGGACGAGGACGCTGATGATCATCGTGATGACGACGACGATGACGACGACGATGATGAAATTTGGAGGAGGAAGGGGGGAGTGAGCAGGAGGAGAATAATGTTCATGACGTGGTGGAGGAGGGCATTCGCTCTGATGTTCCGCGGTGATTTAGTTTAGATGTTTGATTATGCCCCGCCTCCGTTGTTGAGACGCTGCCCCAGTCTGCGCTAGAACCTAAGCGCGCGCGAAGCGCGCGCGTGGTTCTAGTCAAGGATGAAGGGCGATTCTTCTTCAAAGTGTGGTTCCCGCCTGAGCGTCGCACACATTCGTTATAAAGGCTTGCATCAATTTCAAGGATGCCGCGCTGTTCTTTTCCCACATGGGGCTCTCGTTTCAGCGCCGCGCACATTCGCTCTGAATGCTCGCAACCGTCTCAAGGGCTCACAGGGTCGAAGTCCCAGGAATTGTTTTCTGGCAAGGTGTAGAATTGCAAGGGCGTGACAATCACGTTGATTCGCTGCGGTGAAGTCCCAGAAGCGGTGTTCTGGCACGACTTAGGATTGTCAGGACGCAGCAGTCACGTTGATTCGCGACGCTGAAGTCCCAGGACTGGTGCTCTGGCACGATTGAGGATTCTCACACGTGTGTCTCCCAATGGGGCCTTTTCCCGCAATGGGAGTAAATGCATATAGGGCCCTAGGAAGAAGAATATAGATCGAGGGTCTTTTGCAACACAGATGATGCATCTTGGGTTTACATTGGTCCTCCTCCCTCCTCCTTTTCCTCCTCCTCCTCCTCCCTCCTCCTCCTCCTCCTCCTCCTCCTCCTCCTCCTCCTCCTCCTCCTCCTCCTCTTCCTTCTCCTCCTCCTCCTCCTCCTCCTCCTTGTCCTCCCCCTTTTTCTCCTCATCCTTCTCCTTCTCCTCCTCCTCCTCCTCCTCCTCCTCCTCCTCCCTCCCAAGCCTCCTACTCCAGCTCGTGCTTCTCCCCCCGCCCCTCCCCTCCTCCTCCTGCCCGGCGACGACGCGTGGGGCGACGAGGCCGGTGGAGCCGTCCTGGTGTTCCGGGCGGATGGCGGGAGGCGTGCCGCGAGCCGCGGGCACGCGCGCCTCATCCTGCCCGACGACGCGTGGAGGGGCGCCTCAGCGGTCAATTTTGCGGGAGCGGCCAAGAGGGGGATGATGAGTAAGGGGGGAGGGGCATCATGGCCAGGGCCATTATGCCTACCTGGATGCCATGCCCCCCCCCTTGTTTCTTTCCATGCGTTCCCTGGTTCCCCCTTGGCCGCGCACGTGCCTCAGGCCAGGATTTCCCCCCCCTTCTGGACGCCCCCCCCTCTTGGACGCTTCCGACACTCGGGAGGGCCGCCAGGTCGATTGGTCACCGACCTGGCCGACCTGTTGATCGATCGAGACCGCCCCAGCCGATCTGGCGCTCGATCGGCAGGGTGATCCACGCCTCGGAACAGATCGGGCCAGCTGGACTGGGAACGGGTTCAGCAGGCTGTGGATCTGCTGGGGCCCGGAGGGGGGTTGCTTCCAAAGGAGGGGCGCGCAGTGGAGCTTGCCGAGCGGGTCCCTGGCCTTCGAGTGGGCGGACCTGGACGCAGAGGCTCAGTATCGTTCAACCGACCCCTATCCCTCCCCCTATCCCTATCCCGGGCCCGACGATCTCAGCGCCCCAGTTGGAGATGCACCTTTCGAAACCCGAAGGGAGGAGCCTACGTCCCCATGTAGGGGGGCAAATCGGCCAGTGGGGCCAAGGCCACGCCGATGGGATAGGGATTTGTTTGACCGCGACAAAGCAGCAGGAGCTGGATCGGGCACTGTCTCTTCTCTGTTTTTCTTTTTTGTCTCGTTTATTTTTCTTCTTTCTCTCTTCTCTCCAGGTTCCTTGAGCCTGCCCGGCTTATGCGAGTCACGCGACTCTCCTAGGTTCGGCCGTTCGGTACCTTGAGTTCCCAGTGCTGTGTGCGCTCAGAGGCGAGGGCCTACAACCGGCGCCGCCTGGACGGGGAGGAGGTGCCGACTGAGGACCACGTCGCGACCTCAGACGGGCCTGCATCCACCGAGCGGGGGGCTCGGCCGGGTAGCTCGCCAGTCGATGGGCTAGAGCTCGGGGCGATCCAGCTCGTGAGTGCTCGGGTAGGAGGTCGACTACAAGATTGATGTGCCCCAAAAACTGTTTCGTTGAGTATACGAAAAGTACGTAGACTGTTCGCAGATCTACGAACATGATACGTATCAATTCTGAGGTGCATCAAGTCTGGGGTAAATCGATTCTGCAGTCGATCCCCACTGCTGCGTGGTCGGGGCGGAGCGGGCCGCCGGATCGAGATCGCAGGGCAGCCCCGAGACAGGATCCGCTCGCTCCGAGGGTCCCCACGGCGCTGCGGAGCACTCCAGAACGGCCGCGGCCCCCCCGCAGTTGTGCTCTGCGGGCCCCTCGCTGGCCCCGAGAAGGTTCAGTCCGTGGCCCGGCCCCTCCCAGGCACCGCCCTGGCCAGAGTTTCGCGCAGCCTCCAACGTGACGAGCACCTTCCTCAGGGCCCACCAGTTGCAAGACCGGCAAACTGGAGGTGCGAAACTCTTGAACAGTGGGGCTGGTCGCCACGGGGAGTTGCTGCTGGCCGACGCACGGTGGCGGCGCAGGTGGGCAGTGCCTCTGCAGCGCCCCTCTTTGGGAAGCCCCCGCTTTTCGTGCCCGATCTGCTCGGCACCTTCCTCGGAGTCGACCAGCGTCGCGCACGAGCGGGGCGGGGCCCGTGGCGCGGCCTTCTGGAAAGAAGGCCCGCCGCCTCGTGAGCCCAGAGGTCCAGCATGCTGTTTTTCTGTTGTGCGGGGTCCCCGCGGCCGTCGCTTCATCCTGAGCTGTGCTTCGACAGGCCAGGGGTCCGTCGAGGGCTCCCCGAGGCCGAGCAACTGGGAACCAATCCTCATCGCTTCTTTGAGCGCCAGAGGCCTGGGGTACGGCATGTGTGTGTATGCGTGTGTGTGTGTCAGTGTGTGTGTGTGTGTGTCAGTGTGTGTGTGTGTGCGTGTGTTTGTGTGCGCGTGTGCGTGCTTGTCGCTCCTCGCGCCTCGCTTGGATCTGCGCTGCGCCTGGCCATCCTTGCTTCTGTCTGGCCCCGCGTCGTCCCGGCTGGGCTGGCCGGTGTTCGGCCTCCCTTGCATCGTTTCTTGTTGTTGCATTGTCTGTTTACGCGTTCGATGCACGTGCGCCTTCTCATAGTGCGAGTGGCTTCTCCGCCCCCATCTCGCGCGCCCGAAAATGTGTGTGTGTGTGTGTGTGTGTGCGTGTGTGTGTGTGTGTGTGTGTGTGAGTGTGTGAGTGTGTGAGTGTGTGCGTTCGTGTCTGTGCGTGTTCTTGTGTTTGTGTTTGAATGTGTGCTTGTGTGTGCTTGTGTGTGCTTGTGTGTGGTGTTTGTGTGTATGGTTGCGTTGTTGTGTGTTTGTGTTTGTGCATGTGTGTGAGTATTTATGTGTGCATGTGTGTGTGGTTGTATGTGTGCTTACTCTCGTGATTGTGTTGATGTGTGTGATTATGTGTGTGCTTGTGAAATTGGTTGTTCTAGTGGTTGTGTTTGTGATGGTGTTTGTGTGTGTGTGTTTGTTTTTGTGTCTGTATGTGTGCTTGTCTGTGTGTGGTGTGTGTGTGTGTCTCTGTGTGTGTCTGTTTGTGTGTGCGTGTGTGTGTGTGTGCGTGTGTGTGTGTGTGCGTGCGTGTGTGTGTGCGTGCGTGTGTGTGTGTGTGTGTGTGTGCGTGCGTGCGTGCGTGCGTGCGTGCGTGCGTGTGTGCGTGCGTGCGTGCGTGTGCGTGTGAGCGGTGCGTGTGTGCCGTGGGTGGTGGGGGGCGTATCCCGTCTGAGGGCTACGGGCCTATCACGCTGGCCACGAGTCGCCCAGCAGCGCGTTCCCGCGAGGGCGTCTCCAGACGGCTCCCTCGCCCGGCTTTCTCAGCGGGCCTCCCCCCTCGCACCGGTTCCTCCCTCTTGTTCGCCGCTGCGCTCGGCCCGCGGATTGGTGCAGATTCCTGACCTCCCACGTCACACGATCTTCTGGGGCGCGCGGGCCCTTTCTCAAGTAGTGGCGAAGCGTCCTGGCGTGCCTATAGGCCCACCAAATAATGTTCTAATAACCGTTTGCGGTTTCTACGAAATGTTCTTAGAACATTTCTGGCCGATGTTGTCTTGTCTTAGCACATCGGGCGTATGTTCTAAGAACGTTGTCTTGGTTCATAGAACAGCTTTGGGTTTTAAGCACATGTCGTGGTAGGCCTATAGGAATGCGGGGCCGGTCGGCCCCCTTTCAACTTTCGGAGCTATCGGCCCCATCCCTGGGACCAGTCCCTCGTCTCGGGCATTTCTCTGAAGGCCCTTGGGACCCGGGCACGGGCCTCCGGAGGCCACCAGTCGAGGAAGATTGGCACTGTCGTCGGTGGCGCAGGATGGCTCGGAGATCTTCGAGGCTTCCGCTGGGAAGATCCCACCAGAGGCCTCTGGAAGTCCACCCGGGGGCCTCGTCGCCGTCCTCCTCTTCCTCCTCTTCCTCCTCCCTCCCCCCCCCCTCCTCCTCCCTCCTTCCCCTCCTCTCTCCTTCCCATCCTCCTCTCTCCTGCCCCTCCTCTTCCTCTTCCCTTCTCCCCCCTCCTCCTCCGCCCTCCTTTCCCTCCTCCTCCCGCCTTCCTCCTCGTCACCCTCTGCCGCCCCACAGGCGGGCCCTCCCCCTTAGCGTTTTACTCGTTCTTGCTTCTTGGACCTGCATCTTCAGAGACTCTCCAGAGACGGCACAATCTAGATTCCAGGTGCCTCCTCTCCCTCCTCCTCCTCCCCCTCCTCCTCCACCTCCTCCTCCTCCGCCCCCTCCTCCTGCTCCCCCTCCCCCTCCTCCCCGTCCTCCTCCTCCCCCTCCTGGTCCTCCTTTTCCTGCCCCCCCTCCCCTCCCTCCCTCTCGCAGGGTGGGGCCCGCCGAGGACGCGATGATCGCGCGGCGCAAGCGCGTGCTGGCGGCGGATAACACAGAGCTGCTGGACGACTGGCTGCTGCGGCAGGCGGGCGCTGGAGAGGATGATGATGAGGAGGCGGAGGAAGAGGAAAACGAGGACGAGGAAAGGGAGGAGGAGGAGGAGGAGGAAGAGGAGGAGGAGGAGGAGGAGGAAAAGGGGGAGGAGGAGAAGAGGGAGGAGGAGGAGGAGGAGGAGGAGGAGGAGGAGGAGGAGGAAGAGTGGGAGAGCCGCACCCAGCTCCCCCCTTGTCCCATCCAGCGCCTTGGTCTGACATCCCCTTCCCAAGCTGCGATGTTACCAGTCATGTTTGCATACGCCCTGCACGACGAGTTCCGAGGTCAGGCACCGCTCAGTGCGGCGTAGATCGCTGCCGCGCTCAGGTTGGCGTGCCATCGGCTTGCGCGGCCGACGGCTCGCTGATGGAGGACACTCGGCGCGCCCAGGGTACGCTCGAGGAGGAGGAGGAGAAAACGTATACGACACGTAAGCGAACACGCTTATGACGCGTATCTGCAAAGTGCATAAGGCGCATGCGACACACATTCGAAACGTATGCGAAACGTAAACGAAACACGTATGCAACGCATACGAATCGTATACGCCACGTGCGTGCAACGTACACAAAACGTATCGGATATGGAGATGAAACGCACACGAAACGTATGATAAGCTTGTACCTAAAAAGTAGATGGCACGTATTTGAAACGTATATGGGACATTGTTTGCAATGCACATGAAACGTATATGAAGCGTGTACGGAATTGTGCGCGACATCTTTTCGAAATCGTGAACAAAACGTATACAACGCGTGGGCGAAACGCATATGAAATGTATACGGGAACGTATACGCAACGTATATAAGACCAATTCGAGCGTACACGAAACCTATGCGAAACGCGTGCGGGAAGGATGCGAAGCGTGTACTGAGTGTTTTCGATAAGTATACGGCACAAATACGAAACGTGGGTAGCATTTTCACAACACGTATACACATTGTATACACAATGTGGGCACAAAAAAACAAACGAATCCGTTACAATACGTTGTACACAATTTGGGCACATATCGTTTACACAACGCGTATACATGCATACAAACGAACCCGGAACGTTTACAACATGTGTACATCACGTACGCGAAACCTACCCGACGCGCGTGCAAAACGTACACAACACGTGCCAACACGTATACACAACGTATACGGAGAGTAAGCAACACGCACACAACACGCATACGAAACATATATAAACCGTGAGCTGAGCATATACAATATTGATTCACAACATATATACATGGTACGCACAGCGCACGCACAACGCATCGAACACTCTTCAACCACGTACCCAATACGTACATCGAAACCAGTTGTGAAACGTATGCAGGAGGGGGGGGGGGGGGGGGCAGAAGGGGGGCCCGAATTGCCAGTGAGGTTTCCGCCCCAAGGTGGCCCTAATAGCTTCCCAGAGGCCCACGAAGCGCCCCCAAGAGGCCCCGGAGAGGCTCCCCGGAGGCCGGGAAGAGGCCCCCAGGAGGCCCCCCAGACGGCCCCAAAAGCCTCCCGAGGACAGGCACCCGAGAGAGGCACCTTAACAGACCTTGGTATCCGTCCTAGAGGCCCCAGCATTCACAGCTCAGGCTCTGGCGGAGTGGGCAGAAGGCCATTCGATAGTTAGTTGTGGCTCTCGCAAGTAGCGGTTCCCCCTCCTCCACCCATTCCCCCCCACCGAGACAACCGATGGCCACGGCGACGAGAGTTTCTGAAGAAGTGGGGGGGCAAACATGCGTCGCATGTGATAGCCGTTCTCGCCTTCCTCCTCCTCCTCCTCTTCCTCCTCCTCCTCCTCCTCCTCCTTGGCATCACCGCCCGCATCATCGTCGCTACCGCCATCGACATCATCGTTTTCGTTGTCGTCATTGTTGTGGTAATCGTCGGAATGGAATTATCACCCTCGTCGTTATCATCCTCGTCGTCACCATGATGTTCATCATCTCTCTTCTTCCGTCTCCATTATCCGCCTTCTCTTCACTTCAGATTGGTCCCATGCTTCCTGCTTCTCAGCCGATCCTCCTGATCCTCCCCGGCCCATCGTCCTCATCCTCATCCGCCAGAGAGGGTGGGGGGCCGTGCGCGCGAGACCGTGCGTCGGCGGCAGCGACCGACGACCGACGACCGACAAGGACGAGGACGAGAACGAGGACGAGGACAACGACTCCACAAGACTGACGATGACGACGAAAGGCGACGACGACGACGAACACGAACAACGCCCTGCATCCTCCACCGCCCCCCTGCTTCGTCATCCCCCATCGCTCCTTATTTATCTCCTCCTCCTCCTGCTCCTCCTCCTCCTCCTCCACCTCCTCCTCCTCCTCCTCCTCCTCCTCCTCCTCCTCCTCCTCCTCCCCCTTATCGCACGACCCCCCTCCTCCAGCTCCTCTTTGGCGCTGACGACCACAGCGAATGACGATGACGAGTGAGGATGTGCCCAACCAATAACCCAAGAGGCCTCCAAAACGGCCCCCAAGACGGCCCACGAGGGCCCGTAGACGACGCAGGACGACCCAGACGGCCACCACGAGGGCCCCAAACTGGTTAAAAGAATGTCAAAGCGACTCCCGAGGGCCCCAAGACGGCTCCAAGGGATTCCAAACATTGTTTTTCAGGTGCCCGACGCAGCCCCACGACGGCGCAAACAAGCTTTATGAGAGCTCCTCCACGCAAGCTCCACAACCATTAGGATTCCATCGGATTCCAGAGGACTTCTCGGAACTCGACAATCCCGCCCCAATCCGTTATAATTTTCGCCGTCCTTATCCTCTCACTCCCCCGGGGCGGCGGCGCATGCTTGAGAGAGCACGACGACGATGGACCGCGGACCACTGACGATTGACAGCGGCTGTCGACTGACGACGAACCACACGACCAGGACTAAAGACGGAAGACGGCCACGACAACGACGGCGATGACGTCCTCCGTTCCTTGGAGGCCTATTTCGTCCGTTGCCGCGCATTTTTCCAGCCCTTGGGCCCTGCGATAAGCGACGGGCGAATATTCGCCTTCGCCGCTGGCCAGGGGTTGTGGGCCTGGCGGTTGGAGACAAGGGCTGGTCAAAATCGGCCCTTGAACCCTGGACCCCATTAGCTTTCCGAGTGGCGTTCAGGATACAATCCCTGCGACTTCGGCCACACAAATGTTTGATATTGTTGCACATTTCAAAGACGAATATGCGCGGCGCTGGGGCGAGAGCCAAATTTTGAAAAGGAGCCGCCCTCCATCCGTGAAGCTGCCGCAAACTTTTGAAACGATTGCGCGCAGCGCCAAGGCCCCTCCATCCGTGACGAATGCGCGCGGCGCTCAGGCGACAGCCGCGTTTTGAAAACCATGTGCCATCCATCCGCGAAGTAATTTTATGCAAACGAGAGGAATGTGCGCGGCGCTTACGCGAGAGCCACACGTTGAAAGCGACTTGCTTCCCATCCGTGAAACTGTTGCACCTTCTCAAGCTTCAGGATCATGAATGGCGAGGAAGTCTCAGGCGAAACGCCAGACCCGCTCTACCCAAACGTCGGGGGGGGGGCGATAAGGAGGAGCTAGCTATCTATCAGGAAAAGAGATGGGGGAGGAGGCGAGGGAGGGGGGAGGGGATTGGGAAAAGGAGGAGGAAGAGGAGGAGGAGGAGAAGGAGGAGAGGAGGAGAAGGATGCGGAGGAAGAGGAGGAGGAGGAGGAGGAGGAGGATATAGGAGAGCGGGAGGACGGGATGAGAGGAGGGGAGGAGAGGAGGGGAAGGGGTTGTTGGAGGGGGGAGGGGAAGATGTGCACGAGGTTTCCTAATATGCGTCGTTAGCGCGTTCGGTGGTTTTTATATGCCTCCGCAGATGTGGGAACGCGTCGAGGAATTTCAAGAAAAGGGGCGCGAGATCAGTTCAGGGCACCTACTCTTGACGTTTCAGGACCTTCCCAGTCCGCCGCTTATTCGGATTCTTGGAGCTGGGTGTCTTGTCCGAAGAGAGCATCTCGAAACGCGAGGAAAGATAACGCAGCAGCAGCAGCAGCAGCAGCAGCAGCAGCAGCAGACGAGGGCAGCGAGCAGCCGGTGGGAGGAGGAGCAGCTGGAGAGGCATACCCCGCGCCCGACGTCGTCTTAATCGCACAGCGTGGACAGCCAAGATCTAGACCCCTTCCCCAGGACCAGCTGTTCATTCCGAGCCGGTTTTCAACGGCACTGGGGCTGGTGAGGACTCCTGGAAACTGAAAATTGCAAAATTATCACGCGACGTATCCAGCGGAATTGCAAGAAGTGACCAGCTCGATGGGCCCCTATCCAGGTGATGATGACACGACAAGGCAACTTCAACGATTCGTTGTCCTCCACGACTCGAGGAGCAGAATTGAGAAAGCCAGTACCTGGGTTTATGTCATTGAAGCGAATGGGCAGTCATGAACGTCCAACAAAAAGGGCGAGGATGAAGTTGCGACAACAGAGGGATGAAGTGAAAAAGAGGGGCGGGGATGTGGAACAAGGCAGGATAATAACATGAGGTGGGAAGTAACCGGGGGAGGGAAAATCTGAGTTTGGAGAAAAGCTACAAACTCAGAGAGAATCGCGGAAATCTTGGGAGTAGGATTCGAGAGGACGGAGGCGAAAGCCTGGAGGAGAAATCCCCCGAACGTCACCAAGAGGGCCGCACTACGCTGGACCCCGCAGGAGCACTCGAAAGTAGCGACGGCTTTGCAATTCGCAGCCCCCAGGGGCGCCGAGGTCTTAATATTCAGGCCTGGGTGGGACTGCGTTGCGTTGGACCCCGCGACACCTTCGCAGATTGCAGCCCCCAGGAGCGGCGAGGACCCCGCATGGGGCCAACGAAAACGGCGACTGTTTCGCAGATTGCAGCACCCAGGGACGCCGAGGTCTAATTGAGGTCTGGGTGGGGCTGCACTACGCTAGCTACCAAGGAGCCAACGACAGCAACGTCATATTCGCAGCTCGGAGCCCCCAAGGGCGGCGAAGTCTAATCGCAGTCTGGGTAGGACCGGCCTGCGCT